CATACCCAGCTTGTCATTACCTCTTACTGATTAAAATACATGAGGTTTTTTTTTTTTCTGAATTCATGCGATGTAATTAGATGTCCCTTCAACGTTCACATCATACATTTGCATTTCTCTATCATTAGCACATTCTGTAATAATTATATCCATGAATATGTCTATGTCATGCACTAGAATGTGATCTTGTGATCAAAGAATATAACCTCATTAATCTTTTTTATCCCCAGTATTTTTTTTTTTTTGAACTGTGGATTGAACTCAGGCCCTTGCACTTGCCAGGGAAGCGCTTATTCTACTGAGCCATCTCCCCACTCCCTATCCCCAGTATTTAAACAGTGTCTGAAAATAAACATTCAATAATTGTTTCACAAGCTAAAACAGGAGGAACACTAGGAGTCTGAACTGTGTAGTGGGACCCTATACCAACAACAAAAAATAAACAAAGCTCACATCTTTCAATAATTGTTTCATGAACAAATATCCCTAACACTACATTTAAAACTCTCAAATCTGTAATCATGGGTGGTGGAACCTTTTGTATTAGGGTAATGTGATTACTTGGCATACTTGGTGGTGCTTACTCACTGCTCCTGACAACAGAATGAAGAAGGCTTACGTTACTCAAATGAAGGTTATGGTCAGAGCTCCAACAAGAACCTTTATCCAGTTGTTAAATAAATACTTTCTGAGAGTGTTTTATAAGCAAGGCCCTACTATAAATATTAGGAAGCAACAGTGAAAACACAAAAGGTCACTATTTTTGTGGCACTGTTATCCTTGTGGGAAGAGATAATTAACAAGTAAATAAACAGGGTAATTTCAGACAGCAATAAGTGCAATAAAGCTGGGTGAAGGGCCTACTTTACATTGGATGATCAGACAAAGTCTCATTTCACAGGAAACACTGAGGTGAAATCTAAAATAATATGAAGACCGGGAAGAGGAAAAGCATTCCGAGGGAGTGTGTCAGCCCTAAGGTGGAAATAAGTACGACATGATCAAGTGATCAAGAGAAAGCCAGTTTGCTAAATAGGAAGTGAAAGGAAGAGTATGAGGACAAAAAGGTTGAGGTAGGACTGGGCTACATAAAGGTGTCTGTCTTTAAAGATCACTCAACCAGTTATAATGAGTGCATTGCAGGAGTAGGTACAAATGGAAAGTGGGAGATACACAGGAAGAACTGAAGAGACAAAAGGGGATGAGAGGGCTGGAGAGATAGCTCAGTAGTTTAAATGCCTGCCTGGCAAGCGCAAGGACCTTAGTTCGATCCCCAATACCGCATGCCATGCTGGCTCTGAAATCAGGAGTGGTGGTGCACACCTATAATTCCAGTACTAAGGAGGCTAACACAGGAAAATCACAATGAGTCCAAGCTGCATAGTGAGACCCTGAATCAAATAAATAAACAAAAAAGGGGTGAGAACTTGGAAAACATACTTGCTTGCATGAGGATTAACTGAATAATGCAAATTAGGCCTAGGTCCGTCGAGACAGCTCAGGACCTAGGCAAGTGCAAGGATCTAGGTTTGATCCCTGGTATCACATGCCATGACGGCCCTATCGCGGGTGTGCCAAGCCAGCCACCAAGACTGGGTGTGGTGATGCAGGCCTGTAATCCCAGTGTTGGGGAGGCTGAAACAGAAAGACCATTATAAGTACGAGCTGCTGTATGAGACCTTGTACCAAATACATAAAATTTAAAAAAAAAAAAAGTTAGTTCTAAACTCAGTATGTGATATAAAAGCAATATATGATACCTATTGCTATTCATTTATATTCATGGAAAGGTCTTCTTGTCAAACATATGTGAATATTAGCTGGGAGTGGTGACACACATCTATAATTCAAGCACTTAAGAGGCTGAGGCAGTAAGATCTTTGTGAGTTGGAAACCAGCCAGGGATACATAGTGAGCTCAAGTCCAACCTGAACTGCATGGTGAGACTCGATCTCAAACGGGGGGAAAAGAAAGTGATATCAAAATCCTTAGACAGTGATTCAGGAAGCATAAAATGACCACAATACTCATAAAAAGTAAAACTATATTAACTCATTATTATTGTTGTTGTTATGATTAAGAGATGAGAGCAGCCTCACTGTTTCAGGCTGGCCAGGCAGGTACATGCCACTGCATCTCGTTCTATTTCTCGTTTTAATAAATGATTATGGATTTATTCTGAAAAAATTATGAACAAGCTTGTTGAGCCTACATGAAGAAAATGAATTAACAGATTAATCATTGAACATTAGATCTGGAAGAGATCTGGGATAAATTCTACCCTTCACTTAACAAAACAGCAGCCCAGAGAAAGAAACTGCTGTTCTTCTTAAACTGAAAGTGGGAAGATGATATTATTTCTTCAGGGAGCAGCTAAAGACTTTTTATAAATAACATAAAACCAGGGGCTGGGGAGATGGCTCAGTGGTCTAAAGCACCTACTTAGAACAAGCTTAGCAAAGCACAGGGACCGCGGTTCAATCCCCCAGCACCACATGCCAG